GGGGCACGCCCCGGGGGCGGGGCCTCGCCACGGCCCCGCCCCGCCGTCGGGGGTCGCGCGGCGCGGCGCGGGGCTCCGCGCGGTTTCGCGCCGCTCGTGGCTGTTTTGCACCGCTGAAAACCCGTCCCCGCGGGCGGGCGTTGTTGGAGTTTTACGTGGGGACACACGGGCAAACGCCCCCTCCGCTGCTTCCTCCTCGCGTTTTGCAGCCTGGCGTTTCCCGCACCCCCAGCCCCGCTCTGTGTTGCTCTCCGCGCTTGGCCTCCATGCTTCTCCAGGGGGGTCACCCTGCCCCGGGACACGGCTGAAATCTGCCGGATCAGCTCCCCCGGGCGGCACTTGGCACCCTGGGCCCGGCTGCAGCTGTTGGGCCGGAGATCTGATCCCCTGGCACCGGGCGAGAAGCTGCGCCGGCTGCAGGCACCGCGCTCCAGGTCTCCGGCATCCCGTGTCCACCTCGCCGTCCCCCCACATCCCCCCATTTAGCATCCATCGCCGTGAAGTCACACTCAAAGATATCCTGACTGTTCCTCCACCCCCAAAAATCTGGCTTTTTTCAGTGTTTATCATCCCCAAGGGCTGTTTCCTAAGGCAGCACAGGCAGTCTGTGAGGGCCCTTCTTGCCTGAGGAAGAGCTTCCCCCTGTTCCCCTGGATGGAAAGGGAGAAGGCAGGGAGAGCCGGGCACAGCCGGGAGGCGAGCAGGGCATCCATTCGCTATCCGCTCACCCCAGCTATCCCCGCAGCCTGGAACCACCTTTATCTATAGATACTGGTGGAGATATGCTGGGTCCTTAAGGAAAGAAACGATCCTTCCACAGCTGAATGCCCAGAGGCTCCTTGGCCTTCCTTCCCCACCATGTTACACGGAGCGAAGCTGCCGTCGACTCCAGCAGGAGCAAAGCGAGCCGCCAGCCCCTGCGCTCGTTTGCTGCCGTGATTTAGAGGGGCTGTCAGCAGCGCCGGGACCTCTGATTTGTGAGCGCTCCTGTTTGCGCCGAGATCCATGCGGCAGCAAGCGCGGAACGTGCAGCGGCCTCGTCCGGGCTCCCTGATTCCATCTCTTAATTACCTTTGCCGAAAACCACTTAATGAGCAGAGCTTCAGTGCCCTTCATGAGGCACCTTGCGCTCAGCAGCTTCCCCGGCGCTGACCTTGGGACGTCACAGCTTCACCAGCACTGAAGAGGTCACCAGCTCTTAATGCCCTACCTCTGCCAACCTGGAGCAGATCAAATCACTTAGAGTCGGAATGTGCTCCCCCGTGATCAGCAATGAGCTGGGCCTCTGCGAGCGTGACCCTTTGGAGCCAGTGTCTTGCAGAGCTGTCACACAACAGGGGGGAAAACAGCTTCAGAAATAAACAGCCCCTTTGACATTTGCTGGATGCATTATATGAAACGTGTTCCGTGCCTTGTGATGCATGCGAATATCTTGTGAAACTAGAGCTTGCAAATTCAGCCACTGGAAATATCCACTGATCTTCCCTTCCCTTTGTCCCCTGGATATATTTTACCCCAGTGCAAAGGAGGTATAAAACACTATTTATTCCTTTTATAAACACTATTTATTCCCTTTATAGTGGTATAGGGGACAACCGTGGAGATAGGAGAGAGGCGGGAACCCTTCTCGACAACCCCGGTGATGTTTCGCAGCCACACTCGGCTTTACTTCCCTATCTGATGGGCCAGAATCCGGAATCCGGAGCAGACGTGCCTTGGGAAGGCGCCTGGCAGAGGAACCATGTTTTGTTGCTCCGGCGGGACACGGGGGTTTCCTGGTCCTCTAGACGTTTCAGAACTTGCAGCACTCACACCCAGTGACTAAGGAAGCCAAAACGAGGAGCGCGAAATAAAAAAGGGCCGCCCTCTCATGCCTCCGTGGAGCAGCAGACATCCCTGCCAAGAATGGACACAGATGCCAGGTGCTGATGCCACGTGTCCGGATCCAGAGCTACTCCAGGCTTCCAGGTTCCTCCGATCCCCCTTCTCTCTTTTCCCAGAAATGGTTTGCATTGCGATTTTCTCCCATGCTGGAGAAAGTAAAAGAAACGGCACTATTTGCATTTTTTAGCTGAGCGAGATAGAGCTGGGAGTGGGCTTGCTGCCAACGCGGTCTGGCACTTGCTTTGTTGAGAACATATAGAATAATTTATAAATAGTGCTTTAAAAAAAATAATTGTACTTTTAAAGATCCTGCATTGCTGAGGAGTAACCGTCTTCAAAAGAGGCTTTAGACTCTGTGAGGAGTGAGGCAGGAATGCCCTGGAGAGAGGGCAGAGGGGCGGCCAAAAGGGAATGGCGATTTCCTGCCACCTCGGGAAGCGGCGCTGGACACTATCGGACACTATCGGACACTATCAGCATCCGCCTGCCTGCCCCTAACACTCCCATTAGGATCTTTTATCAATCCTGTTCCCGGGAAGCGGGATCGATACATTAGATTTCCTAGAGACAGCGCTGCAAAATGCACAAACGCTCCGGCGGCCCGAAGCGGAGCTATTGATTTTACATAAATCCAACTCCCCCCAGGGGCTGGTGGAGGCCAAGGGGGTGATTAGGGACACTACAGCCTGGAGGGGTAAGGGGACTGGGTAAGAGGTCGGTTTTGTCCCCATTTTGGAGGGGCAGCGTGTGTCAGGAGCCAAGGGGACACCTGGCAGGACAAGCCTCCCGCCTCTCATGTGTCCCTTCTCGCACACTCCAAATTCAATCCATGCGGTCACACAGATGGGATTGGGACTTGACTCCCGGCCATGAGCCCCAGGCGCTAGTGGGGAAAGCCGGGCCGTGGCCCCGGGGCTATGGGGCAGGACGTGCTTGGCCAGGGCGAAGCGCCCCGTCTAGAAAGCACCAAGGTCAGGCGACAAAGTCCCCCTGGCCGGTGTCTCAGGGGGACATCTCACAACTGGTTTAGGTCAATGAAGAGCTCACCCTTGAACAGCGCCCGTCCTGTTTTGAGCTTTCAGTGAGCAGCGCCCGGCTTTCGGTTTCCAAACCCAGGGTGCTCTCACGCTTTCTGGTGTGAGCATGGAAAAGAGGAAGGGGAAGAGCAAGGGCTGAATAAAGCCAAACGAAGCTGCTTCTTTAGTTTCAGGCCCAGCAAACAGCTTTCAGAGCATACAAAAATGAACCTCCACTAGGTTTTTCACCTTAATTTGAAAAACAAAATTTCCCCTGGTTGAGCTGGACTGCCAAACTGTCGCTCAGAGGCGAGACCCGCTGCTGCGTGGAGAGCCCTGCTATTTGCAGAGCTCCCTCTGCAACCTTTGAGCAATGGGACGGCTGCGATGTTGCAACCGCGCTGCTGCTCACAGCACCGTCGGAGAGCTGCGTTGGCACCTGGGAGAGGGATTTTTCCACCTGCTTTTGCAGGGAGGGTAACGATATGCTGGGGAGAGGAGAGATTTATGCGCTTTCAGGCCGGGGGTTATGGGCCTCCTCCATTGCAGCTACAGATTTGCATTCACGGCCGCAGGGGAGTTTGCAGAAGGGGGGAATCAATGTTTTATTGATAGCTAAAAAAGCCTATAGGATGGATGTGCTAATTGCCCCTTCTTTCCCCCCATTCTCCTTTGATAATTGGGTCTATATCGAATGCAGGTAAAACGCACAGCCAGGCAATGCACAACCCCCTTGCAGTCCCCTCATGTGACGAGTTCCGCAGGCCTCAGTGCGGGAGGACGCGGCAGGGAAGCCCACTTGGACCTCTCCTCCGCAGACTCTGCTGACCTTGCCTGTGCCAGGGCAGTGACATCCGCCTCTTCAGATGCCTCCCTGGCGATATTGAATTTTGGAGCTGCTCTTTCACCCCGTCCGTGACTCAGTTTCATGGAAATCGCTTCCCAGGGAAGCACATCCTACTGCAGTTACGGGCGCCGAGCTGCTCCCACGCTTCCAAAACACGGAGCAGGCGATGGGGCCACATCAATAGGACAGTCAGTAGAGGTGACAGGGGACCAGCTTATATCTTGGCCCAGCTTCAAGCAAGTGGGGGGCTGGGCCCCCACGTGCCATGCCGTGGCCATGGAAAAGCAGCTCCATTTTACTTGGAGAGGATGTTCAGGATGTTCCTGCTTTCTGGATGAAGGATGGAGGATCTGGGAAGCCCGCAGAGCAGGGAGAGGAGCCCTTCATCACAAGACCTCACAAAGAGGTGGTAAAAACGCAGCGTGAGAAGGTGAACCCAGCTCTCCAGTCCATAACCTATTTTTTCTCCATAGGCAGGTGTCGGCCATAGAAAATGAATGGGCTGGAACAAAGTGGCTCTTAATTACCCCTTTCTCCTGCTGCTGCAGAAAGCGGACGTAATCACAGCTTAGCTCGCAGGGCTCCCTTTAGATGCTGCTTCCAGGCTTGGAGCGAGCAGCGGCCACAGGCCCTTCACGAAGGCCCAATGACAGGTTTCCAGGCTGACGGGTCCGAGGGACGTGGCAATTACACCGGGGTATTTTTTCCACTGCTCGCAGCCTGTTATTGTGCACTGAGCACCCAGGGCGAGACCCGGGACCGGTCCACGCGGGCAGCAGCTCTGTCCGGCCGGCGCCAGGCTGGCCTGGCTAATTTGGGGCTGGACTGAGGCAGAAAGCTGCACCAGGAGCTGTGGGGAAAAGCCGTGGCCAGGCAGCAGTGCAGGGATCCGGGCCAAGGAGGGACGTAGAGTTGAGCATCCACCTCCTTCATTTTGCTC